GAGGGCCGCCTCCTCCGGGGGAACCACCCTCACGGCCTTGCTGGCCGTCATGGCTGACCACTCGGTGGCGTCTGACTTCTTGAACTCCCCCCGCTCCTCTGGACTGAGCTTCTTCCAGACGACCTCCTGACCGCGCCGGGGCCCCTCCGAACCCGGCCCGGCCGCGGCGAACGAGAGAGAGGACTCGAGGCTCGATCACCAAGCTCCCAGCTCGCGAAGCAGGCTCTGGTCCTGATCATCGGCTCCTTCGGCCTCCCCGAGCTCCGCCCAGACGTAGTCGGCGCCGCCCTCTTATTCCATGACGGCGGCGGCCAACCCTTCGGACCCGGGACCGAGGCTCTCACCGGACTGGGCCCCCGCGATGCCGGATCCATCCTTCTGATTTTCCCATTCCCGAACTCGTTCCAGCACGGAGGCCTGCGGCGCGTCTCCCACTGGAGTGACCCGGGCCCCGCCACACGGGTCAGCAGCCCGCAGGCGGGAGAGCCCGCCCGTCGCGCGCGTCGGAACGTGGAGCTGCTGGCCGGTCGCGGGATTGCCCGCGGAGATCCCTCCCGTTCGCCCCCTGCGACGCTCAGAAGGCCGGGCGGGGTCGACAAAGCTTCTGGCTCTCCGGCCGCGCCAGCAACCTTGACTGATCCGACCGTGGAGGGAGGACCTGAGGGCGCGCTGCCCTCGCTGCTCACACGGGGACGGGATCGAGGAGGCTCGGGCAGTCCGGGGGGAGGGTGCAATCTTTCGCCCTTGTCAGCGGACTCGGCTTGGCCTTCTGACGGGTTCGATTCCAGAGCACCCCCTGAGCCCTCGACCTCATTACCTTCGGGCATCAACGGGAGAGGGGAGCTCGCTTCCATCCGATCTTCCGCTGGCTCGAAGGGACGAGCCACCGACCCTCCGACTTCCCCGCCGGGCATGGGAGCGCCTCCCGGGCCCTGGGCTGAGCGATCCTGGTCGCCCCAGGCTTCGTCGGGAGGAGGCCCCTCGGATTCCACGTCCAGAGCTCCTATCTTCTCCCCCGGGTTGCGCACCTCCCCCCGAAACTCCCGGAACTCGGGAGCGTCGGTGAGCTCGGCCCCGCGCGCCTCCTCCCGCGTAGCTTCTCGGACCTGCTCGATCGAGCATTTCCACAACGTGGTGCTCATAAATATCCACACGGCGGTGCCCTTATGATAAACGACGGCCCCGCGGCGGACCCATCGGTCACGCTGAAGCGCGCGTGTCTTCACGCCGACCACCTCCCCCCACGCGTAAATCCACTGCCCTGGGACGAAAACGCGGCCAGCATGGGGCCGAGATCTCTGGGCTTCGGCCAGACGCGACTTCGCATCGGCACACATCAGGGCTCTCTTGGCCTGCTCGCGGATATGATGCTTCCGAGCAAACGCGCCGGCGACGCTGTCCTGGCCAGCCGCGTCTCCCCGGACATCCCCCACGCCTATGTCATCGACCCCCATCGTCGCTGAGAGGAGAGCGAGGAAGGCGAGGGCTCTCGCCCAAAACTAACTGAGACGGTGAGTATCTAGACCTGCGGTAGCATCTGTTCTTGGCTGACACGGCCTCGTGAAGGATGAGTTCCACCTCGGCGTGGGAGGAGGGCTGGACGCGATCGGCTGCCTTGGCCAGTGCACTCTTGATCCAGCCCCCGCGGCGCTCGACCCTGCCGTTCTGCCACAGCGACGTGGCATCACAGATGTCCTGGAAAATACATGCATGCTCGCACGCACGGCCGAAGGCGCCCAGAAATTCTGGCCCGCCGTCTGACATGACGACCTCGGGGGGCCCGAAGATGCGAACCCAGCTCTTATCGAGAGCAGCCCAGGTGTTCTCGGACGCGAACGGCCCCCCGGGACCGAAAAGATGGCACAACTGGAAACTGGACCCGCGATCGAGCACGCTCAAAACAATCATCTTGGCGCCGAGAACCGCGATAAACAAACAGTCGACCGCAACCAGACGCCTAAAACGGCACGTGCGAGGGACTGCCGCCCGACGCCTCCAAGACGGTCTGGAGCGACCGTCACATTGCTCGCATCGAAACTCATGTTTCACGTACTCGATCACCTCAGGACGCGCCTGAGCAACCAGTAACATCTTCAGAAATGCGCCCCTCGACGGATGCCCTAAATTGACGTGAGTCCGAGCTATCTCCAAGCGCATACTTCGACTGATTGACCCGGCCTGCCTCCCCGCTCTGCCTTCCAGCCTGTCGTTCTCCTCGGGATCCTCGCCCGAGTCCGAGTCCCCAGCGGCGGGGAAAGGCGCAGTCCGAGGGTCGCCTGTCGGAACTTCGTCGGGCTGCTCAGGAGCCCCCCAGAGGTCAGAGGTCTCCTCTTGGTGTCCGAGGGCAGCTCTCTGGGCTGACTCCAGGATTCCCTCGCACATGGCCTGGACCAGGTCGGGGGGGCAGACCTGGGCCGCACTGGTGGGAGCCTTACCGCACAGCTGTCTGTGCACATGGCTACCGTCGCACCGTCTGAGAAGCTGCTGTAAAATCGACGCTCAATTCGCGAGAAACCTAGAGGACTTCTTGCAAGGCCCCCCCCCCCCGCACCGCCAGGCCGCACTGACACAGGTCGGAAACTCCGGTCAGAAACCCAGGGCGACTCAGGATTTCTCGAACCGAATCTAACACCCACGAGCACGCCCCTTCCGGATGTTCGAGCTGAAACCCTCGACCCCGCCTCATTCGATATTCGGCGACTCGCATGCACAGGGCCATGGACTGGATGCCTGCCTCCTCGGGACCTGTCAGGTCGGCCCCCTTCAACAAACGCCAGCTGGGTCTCCGAGCAATCGAGAAGGCAAGGCATTCGGGGCTCACGATTATGACTTCTGGCCGATCCCTTTTAGGCCAGCCGTCGCCCGAGGAACAAAAAAGATTTCGAGAGCCAGCGTGCGGCCAGACCCGGTCAGCCAGTCCTGGACGAGCTTCTTCCGCCTCTTCCGCTGCTTCCGAACGGGCCCTCCTCCGCCGAGGGCAAAGACGGCGCCCTGGACGCCCCGGGGGACCTGGCGCGGAGCCTCCCGGGGACGCGTCAGATCCAGAACCCTGGGGGCCCGGCCGAGGGAGCACAGACCTTCAAACTGAGAGGCCCGCCCAGCCGGAGCCCCGGCACCTGACCCGGGTGGAGATACGTTCGTAGATGCCGAAGCTGCCCACAAATCTACGGTGATGCTGTCCGAGGGCTCCTTGGCGACGGCCATCTGCAACTGCCGCGCGGCGAAATCCGGGGAGAGGGAGTCGCAAAGGATTCCCCGAGGCATCTCGGCTGCGAATCCTGACATTGTCGGAGGCCCAGGCACTCAGACCCCCCACGTCGGACCGGCACACTAAATAGCAGGCCACTGAGGCCATGAGCATCTCCCTGGCTTCTCGGCTGAGCTCACTGGCCCTCCAAACCCTGGCATCGGAAACCCCATGGAGAGTGACTGATCGGCCCTCCCCTCTGCCCCACCAGGTTCCCGCGGCGTGAAAGCTGCCGTCTCGGCGGGCTTTGCCGAGGCGGCGTGACTGGGCCACTGAGGCTGCTCGCCAGATCTGATCACTCCACCCTTCCACGGAACACCCTTCCCCGGCTGGCCCTGGTGCCCCCCCTCCTCTCCGGCCTGTCTCCCCCTCTTGATTCCCGGGGCCCCTGCTCAGACCTACTCCTTGCTGACGAGCTCCTGGATGGCCCTCGCGAGCTGGTCGACAGCCGCGCCTTTGGCCTGGATCGCCTCCATCATCTGGCCCACCCCGGCGCTGGTCGCGCCTGCCAAAGCAAATGACTCCGCGCGGGGCAACTTCACCTTGGTCGCCGGCTTCTCCTTCTCCTTCGGCGTCTCCTTCGGCGGCTCCCATGGGGCTCCGCTCGCAGCCTTCATGCGGGCCTCCGCCCTTGCCATCTTGGCGGTCTTCCTGTTCTGCCAGGCCTGCGTCTCGATCTCCGTGAGCGGCCGCGACCAGACCCTTGCCCCGCACCTCAGGCAGTTCGCGCAGCGCGCGCGCTGGTCCCCGGACTCCCAGAGAGCCCACGGAGGGCGCGCACAGTCGAGCGGGTTGACCGCCCCTGTCGTCTCCTGGCGCAGGTCCTGAATCATCTTCGCAGCGTGGCTCACGTCGATCCACGAGAGCAACTTGAAGGCCATCCTCCTCCAGGCGCGTACTCGGACGTTCATCGTGAGCCTCTCGCCCGTCGAGTCCGAGCCCCCTGGCCGTCCGTCTTCCTCGGAGTGTGCTCGATCCCCCTCGCTCTTCTGCTGCTCCTGGGACACTGATCCTTCGGTCTGCCCGCTCTCCGAGTCCGACGCGTGCAACTTCCCCCAACTGGTCTCCATGGGACTCTCCGGCCACGTAAACCGGACCGAATGTTTTGGAGTCCCCGGTGGCCTTCGAGCTCTCCCTCTTCAGACTGGGACTGCGTACGACATTGTCGGACGAGGTCGACATCGGCTGCCGTGGTGCTCTGCACTGGTCCCTCGAAACGCTCTAGGGGAGTCGGTTCTGGGAGGTGTCCTCTGAGCCCAGACGCCCTGCGGATGGTGGCCCGGGCGATCTCGACCATGCCCCTCCTGACCGCCCCGTTGTTCCTGTTTGTCGCAGCTCGTCCTCCCTCGACCTCTCCCCGTCCATCCTGGCCCTCCTCCTCGCTGCTTCTGAGATCCTCTTGCGCGGTCTCCCGGAGGTCCCCCGTGCCAAGCCCCCCCCCCTTCCCTAACGAGGTCCCGATGGGGTCGAGGCTCTGGCGTTCGGGGTCGGAACTACCCGACGTCTGCAGCACCTACAAGGGGCTCTGAGACTCTACTTGGCTTCCCTGGAGTCTCAGAGAGCCCGGAGGAAAAAGGAGGAGCCCGGAGGAAAAGGGAGAGAGAGGCCTGCAAGCTCGAAAATCACTCGCGCCGAGTCCCCGCCAGTCCCGCCGGGCCGCCTCAGGGACTCTGGGCGGCTGACGCCCAGCAGCGGGATGGCCTGGCGGCCCGACTTCTGCCTGTTCATCTTGACTTGATCCCCTTGTCGGCACGTCGTGCCGGAGCGCGAGAGCGCCCATGGCCAGGTCCGCGATGGCGCCCAGGTTCTCCAGCCAGCGCACCGGCAAAAGGAGGGGCGCGTCCTCGCTCACGATCCGGAACAGGATGAGGCACCTGACCCCTGCACGGGTCACGGGGACCATGGCCTCACCCACGACCTTGGACCGGCCGCCGACCCCCTTGGCGCCACTGCATCCGTCCGTCCTGCGCGTCGGGATGCTCCAGCCCTTCTCGCGGTCGCGCAACTGGCTCTCTCCCACGAGCGCCTGCCCGGCCGCCGTGTCGACCATGCCCCCGGGCTCCTCGCCGTTGATCTCCAGCGGGTAGGTCTCCTGGTACGGGCGGTCGGCTGACTCCGGGGTCCTCAGCGCGCAGATCTCCCGGATGCGAGCGCCTCCTACGACGTCCTACGAGGAAGGTGTCCCCGTTGCCGTGGCCGCTGGCGGCCACGTACATGGAGCCCTCGGCCCCGGTCGTGCCCTTCTGGCCCCTGCCACGGACCTCCGACTTCGGCATGTAGGGATTCGTGCATTCTTTCCTCCAGTGACCCTCCTGCCCACAGTTCGCGCACCTCGTCTTCTCCTCGAGGCGCGCGATGCTCAGCCTCTGCTTCCCTGCGGTTGGCCGTGGGACCTGCCGGCCCCCAGCCCTCTTCGAGTCGAGAAAGTCTCGATCCCGTGCGATCGCCTTCTTGAGCTCCCTCGACTCCGCCCACTTCCGCAGGCGGCCCTCCTCCTCCCTCTTCTCGTCCAGCACCGCGGCCAGCACCACAATCGCCTGCTCCTCGTCCAGCTCCTGGTCGGCGATCGCCTCGTAGAAGGCCGCCGCGTCCTCGTTGTCCATGACCAGGTCCTCCTCGAACTCGAAGTAGACGTCCTGGCCCCTGGTGTCCTCGCCCTCCTGCTCGTGGTCGCTGTCCGCGGTCACGCACACCCGAGGCTTGCTTTGACTAGTCATTCTTTTCCACGTCCATCTTTCTGAGCCCGGCTTTGATCGACTCCAGATCTTCTCGCCCCTGCGTGACCGACAGAAGGTTGATGGCGTTCTGCTCGCTGAGGTTCGCTCCGTTTCTCAGCTGCTGTACCTGGACCGACTCCCGGAGATCGAGACCGTGCTTTCGTGCAGCCCGTACTTGCGTGTCCCTTCTCATCACATACTGGGCATATGTCTCTCCTGGTCGCATCTCCGTGTCCTCCGATACTAATCTAAAGCTCTCTTTGGCCTCGTCGCCGACCTGATCTCCTCTGCACTTATTGAGGAAGCCGATCAGCATGTTTAGTCCTTCTGCGCTGTCCAGTTTACCCTGCTGATGTAGTAGCCGCTCCTGCAGGTCCATCGGCAAGCCGTCGATGACCTTGCACGCCTACTGCTCGGCGGGCAGCCACGTACGCTTGGACCAGCGCTTGAGGGCCACGATGTAGGTGTCCAGCCGCTCGAATCCGCCCCACGGCGCGGGTCCCTGCGTGTCTGACGGCCTCCAAGTCGAAACCGACGCGCCCGTCTCGGTCGGTGCCCACGGCGTGGGCGGCGGGGGCACTGGCGTCGCCGCCGAACCTGCAGCCCGCTCCTGGGCGAGCCACGCGGGCAGGCCGCTCTGCGCCGGCGCCGCCGGAGGCGGCCTGGCCTCGGCGCAGGCGTCCGGCTGTGCCGGCGCCCCTGGCCGCGCAGGTGCCTCTGCCGCTCGCCCGCCGCCGCCGCGCAGCAGCCCGTGCGGCACCGGCGGCTCGACCGGCCGCGCGATCGGGACCCACACCGTGCCGTCGCCCGTCGCCGGAACGTCCTGCCACACGCTGCTGGTGTTGCTGTCGGTGCCCCACCAGCTGCTCCACCAGCTGTTCCACCAGCCGCCACTATTGTTGCTCGTCGTTCTCGTCCAAGGATCCCAGTGTGTCCACGGATCCTCAGCTTCTGGCGGTGCTGATGGTGGCGCCTCGGTTGGTGGCTGTCGCGCCTGCTGGGCCTCGCTGGAAGCCTCAGGCGCTGCTGTGTCTGCTGCTGCTGCTGCTGCTGCTGCTGCTGCTGCTGCTGCTGCTGCTGCTGCTGCACGCTGTGGGGCAGCAGCGGTCGGGCTAGGCCCGCTCCCCTGCGCGCCGCCCGGCTCTCCTCCACCTCGCTCTACCATGACGCTCCTGCTACCATGTGAACGGCCGTCTCGGAACGGAGGAAACAGAGGGAGGCCGGGCGGCGACAGCAGGTCGATATCCCACCCGCCACCTTTTCCTGAAACGCGCACTTGAGCCACAACAGTTGCAAACCCTTGAATACTATGTATTCGCCCAGCAACGTGACTATACAATACGAAACTCACTGAAACAACTCTGGGGACCTCCTGGGACATGGGAGACGGGAATCTAACAGAGATTACGATGGCCCAAAGACGACCCAAGAAAGCCCCGCATGCTTCCACATTTCCCTGATCAAGGCAACTCGCCCGACGATCTGTTTCTGAAGGGCCGGTGGGGATGCGCGAAGCGTCAAGTCCCTATCCCTCGACCCAGACCGCCTCGCGTCGTGGACGAAGATACGACACAAGATTTCTCCCCCGACCGTCGAAAAACGACTCGGCAGGAAAAACTTGCCCAGAGGAGTGGTTCGAGTCCTCCGGGGGTCGTCGATGTCTGCCCCCCCTAAACCTCCAGATGGTCACCAAACAAATCCAAAACCTACCAGCGCACAGCTCTACTGTGCATCGACCTGGTTGCAGCCGCGTCCGCACGGAATACGGAGTGCAAGATGCACCGAGCGGGAGGCGAGGCAACGAGGCGCGAAAAGCGCGCGACAGCCGCTCGAACTGAGAGGACATTGAAAAACAACTCTCTGGAGGCCGTCGTTGTGAAACTATCCTTAGGTCGGGCCTGTCCCCCTACAGAGGGGATTTGAGACGAAAAAATAATCCAGAAAATATTCAAAAAATGCTCAACAATAGTCGAAAAGTCGTCCCCTGACTATTTTCTGCCTATGTTTGAATATTCTTCCTGTAGAGGGTCAGGCCCAACTTAAAACTACATGTCGTTCATTTCTAATCGCGCTCATTTCTCATTGTGCTCGTTTCTAATTGTTCTTGGCCCCCTAGTGGCCAGGAGGAGGCCCAGGATAGAACAATTAGAAATGAAAGGATCTTGGCCCCCCAAAAAAATCAAAGAACTTTCGAAGAATTAGAGATGAACAATGTGTATCCTGGCACCTCTCGGGTCTGGGGAGGCCTCGGGGTCCGCGGGCATTATTGCGCCCCTAAGGGGGGCCTGGACCGCGGCCGCGGCGGGGGCCGAGCTCCTCTCCGAGGTGCTGGCCAGAGCGCACCCCTGGGACGGGTCCACTGGTTTGGAGGCCTGGAGATGGGCACCAACAACAAGACAAGGGGCTGCCTCCACAGGGGGGAGATGATCCTAGATTTCGGTGTTGGTGGTAGGATGTCGGTCAGAGCTGAACCTAAACGGTGTTTTTCGTTTTCGTTTTGTTTTCGTTGTTCCTCGTTTTGTCTTGAATTCGCATTTGCTGCAAAACGACATCGAAACGAAAACGGCCCAAGAAATCGCCAGAACACCGTTTAAGTCCACCCCTGGGTCCACTGTTGGAGGCCTGGAAGTGGACACCAACACCAAGACAGGGGGCTGCATCCACAGGGGGGAGATGATCCTAGATTTCGGCGTTGGCGGTGATGTTTCGGTCACCTTGGAAACCAGAATAGTACTACCATCACCGAGATCGGGATCTTCTTCCCTCCGTGGAGGAACATCGCCGATATTGATGTTGGTGTCAACCTCTACGCCTGCGACTCTCGTCTTAAGTCGGGCCTGTCCTCTTAGAGGACGTTGGACGAGAAATGAAAAATAGTCAAACAGTACCCAAAAATGGTACTATTTTTATACATATAATATCTGTCTGTATATACAACACAAAAAGTCCCCAGACTATTTTTTGACTATCTTTGGATATCCCTCCCGTCGAGGGAAAGGCCCGATTTGGCACTGGTCAACCTTTGACCCGTGGCGACAATAGGGGGCCACATGCGAACCCTACCCCTACCCCCCACGATTTCTGAAGGGGAGGGTGGGTGGGCTTCACTTCACTTGGGAGCTCCCGAACGAAGTGAACCCCACCCTCCCCCTCAGAAATCGTGGGGGGTAGGGGTAGGGTTCGCATGTGGCCCCCTAGACAAGTCTGGAGGCCGCCTCCCCTCAGACTCCCCCCGAAACTTCGACGCTGGCGAGAAGCTGGAGCATCGCGAAGAGCCACGCGCCGAGCCCGGGACCCCATCTTCCTGCTGCACGTCTCGAGCCGGAGGAGGAGGGGGAGGAGGAGGGGAAGGAGGAGGAGGAGGAGGAGGAGGAGTAGGAGGAGGAGGAGGAGGAGGAGGAGGAGGGAGGAGGGAGGTGGAGGAGGAGGGGGAGGAGCGGGAGGAGGAGGAGGAGGAGGAGGAGGAGGAGGAGGAGCAGGAGGAGCAAGAGATCGATCTGTGATGGCCAGGGCCCGCAAACAGGCGAAAACTCCGAGCGTGAACAAGAAAAGGGGCGCCCGGATCTCAGGGCCAGGCCGGGCGGACTGACTCTTTCAACCCCGGCGTCTCTTCCATGTCTCGGCGGCCTCCTGGGGCCGAGCGAGTCGAGAGGATCCAGGCCTGTTGGACCGATCGCTCGTGCCTCTGGAAGGAGGGAGGTTCGAGCTGGGAATACCGTGATGGCATTGGATAAGGAACCACTGGACAAGGAATTTAGGGTCTGGAAGACGGCGGAACTTCAATCGTTGATCGGCCATGGATATCACCGCCGCCCTCATCAGATAAGGAACCCTCCACGGTCTGAAGCCTCCCGTGCACGTTCTATAACCAACGCCCCAGCCGTATTCTTTTTCCCCATAAACTGCGTTATTGAGATTGGAGAGAGCGTGATCCACCGCCGCTTTACTGTGGAAAATTGCCTACCTTTTCCTCCGGAACCCGGGGGTCGCCCCCCCCCCCCCTCGCCCCCCCCCCCCCTCCGAAAATCCCCCTCCCCCTGCTGGAACCCCTCCCCCCCCCACCTCCCCGACAAAACCCCCCCCCCTCCCCTAACCCCCCCCCCCCCCCCCTCCTCCCCCTCTCGAAAACCGGGGGGTCACTACCGGTTCGAACCCCTCCCCCCCCCCCCCCTCCGGAAAACCGGGGGGGTCACTACCGGTTCGAACCCCCCCCCCTCGAAAACCGGAGGGGGGGTCACTACCGGTTCGAACCCCTCCCCACCCCCCCACTCACCGCCAGCAAACGACTCCCGGTCCCTACCACCGTCCGCATCACATCCCCCACTGTTGTTCCCAGCACCACTGTCCTCACCACCACTGTCCCCACTGGTTCCACCACCGTCCCTACTGTCCCCACCAGTGCCCCCACCACTGTCGCACTGTCCCCACTGTCCCCACCACTGTTCCCACCACGGTTCCACTCTCCCCACTGTCTCCACGGCCCCAACCACTGCCCGACTATCCCCACTGTCCCCACTGTCCCACTGACTCCGCCGCCGTCCCACTGAGCTGTCCCACTGTTCCCACCACTGTCCCCACTGCCCCCACCACTGTCCCCACTGTACCTCTGTCCCATTGTCCCACCGCCGTCCTCGCCACCGCCTTCACCACTGTCCCCACCACCATTGTACCCTCCACTGTCCCACTGTTTCCACCTCATTCCCACTGTGCCCACACCACTGTCCCCACCACCACCGTCCCCACCACTGTCCACTGTCCCCCCTGTTCCCACCATTGTCCCCACCACTGTCCCCACCACTACCGGCCCTCTACTGTCCCACTGTCCCACTGTCCCCACCACTGTCCCGCTGTCCCCTCACCACTGTCCCACCAACACCGCCCCCACCTCTGTCCGCACCCCCACTCGGTTTTCGAGGGGGGGGGGGGGTTCGAACCGGTAGTGACCCCCCCCCCTTTTCATGATGAGCTGGGGGGGGGGGGGGGGAGGGGTTCGAACCGGTAGTGACCCCCCCCCCCCGGTTTTCCTGAGAGGGGGGGGGGAGGGGTTCGAACCGGTAGTGACCCCCCCCGGTTTTCCGCCAGCGGCGGTAGAACACGCTCTTTCTGAGATTGGGTGTTTTGTTCCTGGTGGACTTCATCGACGTAAAACACTACAGTTCTGAGAAGCACACTTGATGCTCCTTCAAGATTCCTCATAACCGAGGCCCCATCCCCAGGCTGATTGACAAAGGACCCCCTGGTGCTAGACGTGCCGAAATCTGCGCTGTGCGTCAGCCTCTGCCAGAGACCGCTCCACAAATTTATGTTAAAAAGGTGTGGTGCCAATCGTGCAGATCTGCTGTGCATCAGTCTCTGCCGGAGGACGCCCCTCCCCAGGCTGATTAAAAAGGACTCCCTTGTGCTAGACGTGCCGTTCTGTCGTGCATCAGCCTCTGCTGGACGAGGCCCCTAACCAGGATGATTAAAAAGGAGTCCCTGAGGCTAGACGTGCCCTTCTGCTGTCCATCATCCTACTCGGCGAGCCCCCCTCACCAAATTGACTCAAACAGAATCGGAAATTGGAGGGTGACATCGACATGAAACGGAGACCCTCCTTACCAATAAATCGGTTTCAATTCCGTGTTCGCGTCGTGCGCACGGGCGAGGCAAAGCTACATGGGCGAGCGAAAGGAATGAACCCTCCCTGGCTAGGACGCCGCCTAGCCAAAAGACCGCCCCCCCCCACAGGTTGTCCGGCGGTGGCCCGGGGTGTCCCGCCGTGGTGTCCCGATGGTGTCCTGTGGTGTCCCGTGGTGTCCAGTGGTGTCCCGCTGTATCCCGATG